CTCCTCCCCCTTTCACCGCCGCCGCGCAACCAAACTAATCAACAATGGAGGACGACGTCGCTGCCGTGAGTACTCGTCACCGAGCGATGGAGAAACCGCCTCGGATCACCGATCGTAGGATGGATCGGACGCGGGGGCAGGCCGCGGGGGGAGGCGCCGCGCGGTTTTCTCGGGATCTGACGCGGGTCGACGGCGGCCCGCGTTTCCACGGGGGATGGGTGTCGGGGATGGTGACATAGGGCCATGGGATGGACGGATCGTGCCGCTGGAGGGTGATCGGACCTGGCGGGCGGCGGTGATGGGACAGGACGGAGCGCGACGGGATACCTTGTCTCGGATTTTTACCTCTTATATTTAATCATTTGGCGTTCTCGCTTGAGTGTTTTCCTGGTTTCTTTTGATCCTCGATTGCTTGATAACTCCGTTTAAACTCTGTGAACATTGTTCTAACGCTTGTACTTTCTTCGACAGCTCGTTATCGACAACGGCTCCGGTATGTGCAAGGCCGGTTTCGCCGGTGACGACGCGCCCCGTGCCGTAAGTATAATTTTTTTAGCCTCCCGTCTGGCCTCCCTTTGTTAGATCGATCTCGAGCCGGTGCTGACATCATGCCTCTATATTTAGGTCTTCCCGTCGATCGTCGGTCGCCCGAGGCACCAGGGTGTCATGGTTGGCATGGGTCAGAAGGACAGCTACGTCGGCGACGAGGCCCAGTCCAAGCGTGGTATCCTCACGCTGAAGTACCCCATCGAGCACGGCATTGTCACGAACTGGGATGACATGGAGAAGATCTGGTACGTTTTTCTCTTATCATCGTTTGCTTTCGTGTTCCGCAACCTAATCGTCATGGCTCAATTTAGGCACCACACCTTCTACAACGAGCTCCGTGTCGCCCCCGAGGAGCACCCCGTCCTCCTGACCGAGGCGCCCCTTAACCCGAAGGCGAACCGTGAGAAGATGACCCAGATCATGTTCGAGACCTTCAACACGCCCGCCTTCTACGTCGCCATCCAGGCCGTGCTTTCCCTGTACGCCTCTGGCCGCACGACCGGTATCGTCCTCGACTCCGGCGACGGTGTCTCCCACACCGTCCCAATCTACGAGGGCTACGCGCTCCCCCACGCCATCCTCCGTCTCGACCTCGCCGGCCGTGACCTCACGGACTACCTCATGAAGATCCTCACGGAGCGCGGCTACGCCTTCACGACCTCGGCCGAGCGTGAAATCGTCCGTGACATCAAGGAGAAGCTTTGCTACGTCGCCCTCGACTTCGAGCAGGAGATGCAGACCGCCGCCTCGTCCTCGGCCCTTGAGAAGTCGTACGAGCTTCCCGACGGGCAGGTCATCACCATCGGCAACGAGCGTTTCCGTGCCCCCGAGGCCCTGTTCCAGCCGTCGTTCCTCGGCCTCGAGGCCGCCGGTATCCACGAGACCACGTACAACTCGATCATGAAGTGCGACGTCGACATCAGGAAGGACCTCTACGGCAACATCGTCCTGTCCGGCGGCACCACCATGTACCCGGGCATTGCTGACCGGTATTTTCTCCATTCCTCTTCCCATCATTCTTTTCCCGCCCCTGTGGCCATTTGTTGACCCGTTTTTTTTTTACTTTGTTCACAGTATGCAGCGTGAGATCTCGGCGCTCGCCCCCTCGTCGATGAAGATTAAGATCGTCGCGCCCCCCGAGAGGAAGTACTCTGTCTGGATTGGCGGGTCCATCCTGGCGTCGCTCTCGACCTTCCAGGTACCATCATTCTCGCACTTGCCCTTAAATTGGTTCATACTAACCTTCCCGTTCTTTTTTTTCCGAAGGCCATGTGGATTTCGAAGCAGGAGTACGACGAGTCCGGCCCGTCGATCGTCCACCGCAAGTGCTTCTAAGTTCCTCCCACGCTTCGACCCCGGGCAAGATTTGTTTGGTGTCTGGTGTTGTTCTGGATATGGCATTGTTCTGTTGTTTTGTTCGTTCCATGTTCTATCTTTATACAGCATCTTTCAGTCGGCCCGTTTTTGATGTGATGTGAAACCCTGCTTTTGCCCTCTTCAACTTTTTTGTTTAAAACTAAGTGGAACCCGCCCACGTCATTGCTTGCTTGAGACCTCGTTTTACCCTTTTTGTCAGTTTTAGTTGTTGCGATTCATGTGGACCTTGTATTTTCTTCCTTGCTGGGGAGGGACTGGCTTTGTTCTGTTCTGACTCGATGGCGAATATATTACTCGTGAAGCATGATGGTGTAGGTTCATGAGCATTGCAAGGCCCATCGGGCCTCCCTGTCCTGTCGAGAACATCGGGGTACGGTAACTGTAGAGAACATCAGGGTTCGGTAACAGAAACCGGATTTAGCGGGATATTGCATGATATCGGCCCCAGACACTGTCTGGCGTAGTCTTGAGCCTGGTAAAACGGAGCAGCCAAGTACGCGCTTGCATCTTACAGTTTGCAAAGATAAATATGTCTGCTGTTTTGTATTCACAAATTGCTGTAGGCAGGGTGGGTTCTTGGTGTCTGCAACTAATTGCGACTTATCCCACCGTTGATGTAAAAATGTGTTGAACAAACGAAAGATCAGCGTAAGTGCGCTCATGCAAGGGTTGTGCAAATTGTAGCGAAGAGCAATCTGAAGGCAAGTATCAAGAGGGCTGGCAGCATAACATGATTGTAACTTGAGGATGACAAATTGTAAACAGCTTGTAGTGAACGATCAAACGTAGAAAACTTGGAGTGATTTTTGAAGACCATGAAGTGGAGTTGCCTTCACACACCGATAATTTGACGAACGCCCATAAACCCCCGCCACCCCAGCAAATGTCCCGTTCCCCCTGCCGACCTGCAGCGCAAACCCTGTGCCCGCAAATGACCCCGCACCCCACCCTCGAACCACCGCCACCGTCCTCGTTCCCACGTTCACGGTGGCGGCGTCGGCGCGCTTCGTAAGCGCCTCCCGGCATCCCCAACGTCCATGACCCCAGTGCGACATCTACCACCTTCACCTGCTCCGCCACCTTCTGCTCCCTGACAATCTCCAACCACAGCCACGACGTCTCCAAAGCTGCCATCGACTGAGCCTTAAAAAAAAACCTTTAGTTTAGATACGTCACAAAGCCAAAGAGGTTTTATCGGTTGGATGGTGTAGGGGCAGCACTTCAGATTCTGATTCTGGCAACCCGGGTTCGATTCCCGGTCCGACCTCCGGTAAATTGTTTTGCCGGCTGCTTGCTTTGCTTGCTGCGCCTTTTCTGTTCTTTTTGCCCAAGCCTTTCTCTTGCATTCTACATTCACTCTTTGCCATCAATTATCCCTTCTGTCGCGTCCCCCTTTTCCGCCGTCCTCCTCTATTCCCCCTCCCTCTATGCTCCAGTCCACCCATCATCCACCTTCCCACCCCCGCCGTCATGC